ACAACAACAGACAGTAGTGGTGTAGGATATATGTATGTCAGAAGGAACAACAATAGACAATTGAGTTGTATGCCCTCTGTCAGTAGGAACATAAATAGACAGTGGAGTTGTATGCTCTTTGTCATTTGGAACAACAATAGACAGTGGGCTTGCACGTCATCTGTCTGTCAGTGTGGAAAACAATAGACAATGGAGTTGTATGCCCTTTGTTTTTCAATTGGAACAACAATAGACGGTGGAGTTGCAAGACCTTTGTCAGTAGGAACAATAAAAGACAGTGGTGTTGCGGGTCGTTTGTCTGTCACATACGTTGTTATTTCGTAAGAATGTAGAACATCGGCCCAAATTCACAGCATACAGTGGTCCACCTGTGCACAGTAAAAACGTGATGTACAGAACGAAATTAAGAAATAAGGAACATAGTTTCGTAATAGCCTGACCTTAAGATGAATGTCCAAAAAAGCAAAGTCTTTAATTACCTTTACATAAGATGTAGACATTAACGAATTAAATTTAAACAATGTTGGATGAATAACGAATTTATTTGGAACATATCAGTCTCGTAACGTACTGTATTTAGAACAAATCAATATATCAATTTATCCTCCATTATTACGGTACAGACAAATACTTTCATGTCTTGGAATATTATGATACCGTCCCGTTTCTACGCGGAGATTATCAGAAATGCAATGGAACTGGGACACAGCTATTCTAAATGTTCTGAAGGTAATTTATTTCACATTTTACTCAACGTTATAACAAATGAATAAATTTGTGTGTTAGAAATGCTTTTATTTTAACATCTTGAGCTAGGATTGTTTGACATTGGGGAATGCCAGTCCTGTTCAAAAGCATATTTAAGTCTCATAACACATTCTGTAATACACGATTCTTTTAGTTTAACATCTTGAGCTTCCCATCCTAAACGATATGACGAAGATGTAAGCGTGGAAGTCCAGTACATTTTACCATGGCTTTGAATTCACATATTGTGACTGTTTCTATGGTATCTGGTATCTGGCATTGCTAATAACGTAGATCAGTATAAAAATACACGTTTAGCTGCTAATATGTAAAGGGGGAAGCGACCACATTCGCCTTTGACAACGTTGCAACATAATTTGGAGTAGATTTTTTTACCCCCAAAAACTTCTTACATGGCGTTAACTGTACAGATTCCAATTGTTCGCCATAAATTAGAACTGGTGCAGCCTTTGTTTCAATTATTTTTAACACAGGTCATAAGGGATTGGCTTTAATTTATATAGTGATCTCAAAACATTGAACAATATCTTCTTGTGTAGCCTGTGTACTAGTATTTTCTATATGTGGAACCGAAGACAAAGTTTTACTAGGAGTAACTCCCAAGTACTTATACATGAACTACGTTCCAATAGCTTCTCCTGGTAATATCGCTTTTAATTTCTCGCCAGAATACCTCCTTTCTGATCAGCAACAGTGTCAGAAATAAGAATAACACCATCGGCGAAATGTTAAGGAAACAAATATACTATGTCTGGATGTAACTGGATACTGTAACTGCAAGATTCGTGGATTTCTTCTGTTAACTCATTTATAAACATCTAAAATAGGTAGAGTACATAACCTTGGCGAACACCGATGTTACATTCTGAATAAATATTATTATATTTTAAACATGAGCGGACTTTAGAATAAATAGCCTGGACACGTTTCTACATTTTTGATGAACACCCTGTCTCTGTAGTACATTCCTCACTTTATTCTATTAACTCAATCTAATGCTTTGGAAAAATCGATCGATAAAACATATTTTTCTTTATAAAAAAACCCGATGAATAACAGACGGTAGTGCAAATTCATTATCAGTGGTGGAGAATCCACTGCTCAAACCTGCTTACGACTCAACTTTTTTTTATATATGCATCAGCCCAAAGCGTTAAAAGAGAACTCAGAATATAAATATATATCTTACTAAATATACTTAATACAGTAATTCCCCCTATATGTATTTGTAGAATTTACCCCCCCCCCCCCCCCCCCCCCCTATTTATAAAGTGGGATAATAATGTCTTCTGTCCACTTATCTGGAAAATATCCTTTGTCAGCAAAATTATTGAAAAGAATTAACACTTAAATATCAACTGCATTTTTAAACAATCACTTTATCATTTCCTGCTGTTTTGTTGCATTTCAGACCCACAATAGCTTTTACAATTTCCTCTTCAGTAATTAGACTATCAAGAATACCTAGAGATTATTACGCGAGTGTGTTTGGGAATGGTAAATATCCTGTATTAGGAATATACATTGTATTTTGTGAGCCTTGGCGATCTAAATTCATGGTGTTTATTCACAAGCCCGATAAGCTCTTTATCATATACAGTCATTCAATTCAGTGCTCGTAAAACCTCTTCCCATCTCTCGCAAACATTTCCTAATCATTGCAAGTTTTCCTGGAATGTGCGCATTAATAAATATTACGTCAGAAGGTAAGTGATGTGTCTTCGGACTGTTCAAAGAATCAGTATAGTTCCAACTGAAAACTGTTTCTTACACAGTGGCGTAACTACATATAGGCAAAAAAACAATGGCTTACCAAATTGTTTCTACTTGCCTTTCGTGGCAATCCATCGGTCTTTCCCCAAGAGTAACTCCCCTTTATCAAAGGGAAGCTACTCTAACACTAGTCTACGCGACGCCACGTGTGTTGACAGAGTCTGCCTGTAATAACGTAACGACGTGCAGTCAGATGTACACACAGCGACAAAACGAAACGGGAAAGGACTTTGTAATTTGGGTAAAAGGTTCCAAGCTATTGAGGTCTACAAGCACAGATATGGAAACTGATCCCTCTAGGCTAGTATCCTCGCTAAAACAAATTGCTATTTATATCTCCAAAGTTGCCAATTTTTTGCAAATGCCTTAGCTACGTCATAGTTAGTCACTGATTTTCAGTACATGTATATTAGATTATTGTTTTGATAATGATAGCAATTATCCCAGTAGTTTATGCCGCTTACGATGGTTAATTCTAACTCTGACGCCGAATGACAATTAAGACGCGTCCGCCATGTTTGTGTGTTAACACTGAAAGTAGTCCCTACTTGACCATTGATATTTGAATCTCTTTCCGCATAGGATCCCTACGGATATCGTTTTTATCCGCTGGCTTTATCACGCCGACGGAAACCTACCTATTTTATGATAAATCTAGTTATATCATCAAAGTCTTTATCAGTGACAGGTATATTATCATTTTTATCATTATCATCATCATCATCATCTGTAGACAACATAGCACTAAAATGTTCATGCCATTATTCAACAGATACAGTTGATTGTAAGGATGGAGGCATCCTGAAAAGTCGCTTAAATACAGACCAAAATTCTTTACAGTTGTTAATATTATACAACAAACTGTTGCATGTCTCATCGGAATACAGCTGTCTTTTCCTCCGCACCACAGTAGTTAACTTATTACGGGCTTAAGAAGTGATTCTCTCACAACGAAAAAACAAACACTCTTTATGAAACCTCCTCTGAGTTTTTGACTTACAAAAATGATAAGTTACGAGTCACGTGACGGCATGGAGCGTGTAATGGGAAGATGGCTGGAATCGGATCGGAATACAATATCAAAACATGTGCATAAAGAAAACACATAAATGCATGACATTACATAATCTACAACACCAGACCCATTCGTACTAATAAAAAAAATTAATTCACAATCACCAGTCCCAGTGTAAGTTCCACAGCGGCCATTAAACAAGACCACAATAAGAGATGCACACAGTTTCAATAGCAATGATCCAACGCGATTTAAGATTTTATCGCAGTAATGTAAATACTATAAAAATGTAGAAAACTAATCAGAGTTTAGTGGTCTGAAATATCAAATAAGTCTGACCCACCCGAGGCATATATAGACATCCCTAACTTTCTACATCAAGCAGTGACTCTTCCAAAGTGGAAATTCCTCATCTGCATTGCTCATTATAATTTTGCTTGATGAATGATTTGAAGTTTACCAAACAGCGTTTAACCAATACAGATATACCACCAGACAATCAGTTAAAGTCACAAAAGACAATGAAGTTGCATGCCCTCTGTCAGGAAGAATATCAATAGACAGGGGAGTTGTATGCCCTCTGTCAGGACGAAAAACAATAGACAGTGGAGTTGTGTGACCTCTGTCAGGACGAATAACAATAGACAGTGGAGTTTTATGCCCTTTGTCAGGAGGAATAACAATAGACAGGGGAGTTGTGTGACCTCTGTCACGAGGAATAACAATAGACAGGGGAGTTGTGTGACCTCTGTCACGAGGAATAACAATAGACAGTGGAGTTGCATGCCCTCTGTCAGGAGGAATAACAATAGACAGTGGAGTCGTGTGACCTCTGTCAGGACGAATAACAATAGACAGTGGAGTTTTATGCCCTTTGTCAGGAGGAATAACAATAGACAGGGGAGTTGTGTGACCTCTGTCACGAGGAATAACAATAGACAGTGGAGTTGTGTGACCTCTGTCACGAGGAATAACAATAGACAGTGGAGTTGCATGCCCTCTGTCAGGAGGAATAACAATAGACAGTGGAGTCGTGTGACCTCTGTCAGGACGAATAACAATAGACAGTGGAGTTTTATACCCTTTGTCAGGAGGAATAACAATAGACAGGGGAGTTGTGTGACCTCTGTCACGAGGAATAACAATAGACAGGGGAGCTGTATGCCCTCCATCTGTCAGTCGGAACTAACAATAGGTATTTGAGTTGCATGTTCTCTGGCTGTCAGAATAACAATAGGCAGTCCAGCTCTATGCCATCTGTCAGGGGGAATAACAATAGGCAGTGGAGCTGCATGCCCTCTGTCAGTCAGAACAACAACAGGCAGTGAAGTGATACATACATTTTAGATACTCCGACTGTCTGCTGCGTGGAGGCCTCGAAAAGCACTCACGTTCTACTTCACGTTAAAATGTGGCTGGTGATAAAAACATAGTAAAAGCTTACCTGTTAATGCTGATTTGAAGCTCCTTTTTCTCGATATCTGAAAAAAACACAAAAACCACTTAAATGTGTATTAGATATTCCCTAAAAGATCTTGTTTTTCATTACTGTGTCTGAGTGGAGTATCGATGTTAAACTGGACGAAAGGGGAAAACCTCAGCCATTACACCAAGAAACATCCTTAGAATAACATAAACGTGAGTGTGAACAGTTTATCACAGATCTTGTGCGCTTCTGTTTGACACAGATATTGTGCGCTTCTGTTTAACACAGATATTGTACGCTTCTGTTTAACACAGATATTGCGCGCGTATGTTTAACACATATACTAGCCACATAAAGAAACTGTGCACGGAGAAAATATAGATATAAGGGCACACCGTCCATATATGAAATATAGGTTTGAACACAGCAATTATTGGAGACATTCAAAAGCTCATGCACGTGCCATGCGATATGACGTCATTGATGGGGGCCTATGGACGTGCAATGTGTTACTGCACGTGCATCCTGTGCAGCTGGTACACATCATGTGCAACTTAAAATTCGCTGTCACTTTGGAAAGCATGATCTGTGGTCATTCAAAAATTCAAAGCTTCTCGGGCGCAGACACAAGCATATCACAAGCAAATCATGCCAAGATTGACAGCTGCACAGCGTCATGAAGTCATTGGAATGATCCGAGCGGGAATGAGGCAACAACAGGTGGCATGACATTTCCAATGCCATCGTAACACGATATCGGCATTGGTGAGGCGTTATCAGAACACAAATGACGTTGCCGACCACCCACGTTCAGGACGTCTCCGGGTAACGACGCCAAGACAGGACAGATGGATTCGAGTTACACATCTCCGACACAGGTTCCAAACGGCAGTAACGACGTCCCAGACAATTCCTGGACTGCGCCGTATCCATCCCAACACTGTCAGGAATCGTTTACGTCAGTACGGGATTCGACCACGACGCCCTGCCATACGTCCCATCCTGACACACCGTCATCGAGTCAACCGTCTAAGATGGTGTCGAAATCATGTTCGCCAACCTCGAATATGGTGGAGAAATGTTGTCTTTACAGATGAATCGAGGTTCAACATTTCCCACAGTGACGGGCGCCAACGTGTCTACCGGCGTTTGGGAGAACGTTATGCACGAAACTGTATTGTGGAGAGGAATCGTTTTGGAGGTGGCTCTGCGATGATTTGGGATGGGATAACACCACGGCACCGAACCCCTTTGTTCAGGGCAATCTCACCGGTGTGGCTACAGAGATCAGATTCTGAGGCCTGTGGTCATTCCTTTCCTGCAACGTCATGGCCCGGGATTGACATTTCAACAGGACAACGCTCGTCCTCACACGGCTAGGGTCGTGATGGATTTCCTTCACCATAACAATGTCATGTTACTGCCATGGCCTGCAAATTCTCCAGATCTCTCCCCAATAGAGTGGGATGAAATGGAGCGCCGTCTGCGTCGTCTACCACATCCTCCAGATAACGTCCGTGACTTGGCACAGGATTTGAGGAGGATATGGCAGGCCATTCCCCAGGCCTTCCATGCCCATTTGGTGGACTCCATGCGTCGCCGATGCACTGCTGTGATTCACGCACAGGGTGGTCATACCCGTTATTGACTTTGTGACTTTGTCGTTTGACCCCCTACTCCATTTTGATCTTCTGACGTCATCGTAACAGATGTTGTTCAGGTCCCGTTGACATTTTCTTATGGTCCGATCATTCAGCTGCTACAGCGTCTGCATCATTTTGTTCTTGCTGTGTTGTGTTTCAATCCAGAATATATTTTCTCCGTGCACAGTTTCTTTATGTGGCTAGTATATTTTGTGCGTGTCTGTTTCAGCCAGATCTTGCGCGCGTCTGTTTAACACAAATCTTGTGCGCGTCTGATAAACACAGATCTTGTGCGCGTCTGTTTAACAAAGATATTGCGCGCTTCTGTTTAACACATATTTTGTGCGCGTCTGTTTAAGCCTGATCTTGCGCGCGTCTGTTTAACAAAGATATTGTGCGCGTCTGATAAACACAGATATTGCGCGCTTCTGTTTAACACATATTTTGTGCGTGTCTGTTTAACCCAGATCTTGCGCGCGTCTGTTTAACACAGATCTTGTGCGCTTCTGTTTAACACAGATCTTGTACGCGTCTGATAAACACATATTTTGTGCGCGTCTGATAAACACAGATCTTGTGCGCGTCTGTTTTACACAGATCTTGTGCGCTTCTGTTTAACACAGATATTGTACGCGTCTGATAAACACATATTTTGTGCGCGTCTGATAAACACAGATCTTGTGCGCGTCTGTTTTACACAGATCTTGTGCGCGTCTGATAAACACAGATCTTGTGCGCGTCTGTTTAACACAGATCTTGTGCGCGTCTGATAAACACAGATCTTGCGCGCTCCTGTTTAACACATATATTGTGCGCTTCCGTTTAACACAGATCTTGTGCGCGTCTCATAAACACAGATCTTGTGCGCGTCTGTTTAACACAGATATTGCGCGCTTCTGTTTAACACATATTTTGTGCGCGTCTGTTTAAGCCTGATCTTGCGCGCGTCTGTTTAACACAGATATTGTGCGCTTCTGTTTAACACATATATTGTGCGCTTCCGTTTAACACAGATCTTGTGCGCGTCTGATAAACATGGATCTTCTGCGCGTCTGTTTAACACATATATTGTACGATTCCATTTAACACAGATCTTGCGTGCGTCTGTTTAACACGGACACGGTGCGCTTCTCTTTTAATTAATGGATACAATTAAATCGTTTATTACATCGTCAAAGTTTCACAGTTTATCGTCAGAATATAATTTAAAATGTGGTCCTCATGTTTGTACTATCAAGCTGAATTAGGGTTCGGGTTTTGTAATCTGGCAAAACTCTGTGGACTGTCTGTTTTACAGAAACAGCAAATAAATCTATTTTCCCATATTACGCTCGTTAAATATTGACAGTTATCTTTTAACTGATGCTTCTTTAAGCTACAAGTGCATGGCCGGCGGTGATATAACAGTTCTCTTTCAGCCTTTTAGCGTTGGGAATATTAAATGTTGTCGGCAGGAACATATAATGGCATTTTTGAATAAAACCCAACAACTGTGACAGCGCAACGTTATTTAACAGTAAAACACTAAGAGCTTCCATTGACACGCATGCATTACTAAAAGGGCATATTAGGTTTTATTATCTTTGCATTGTCACTCGAGGAAATACGTGTCACCAAGCTTATTAATATGACGACTGAGTGGGCGGGGGAAGACTTGTGGTAATTGGATGAAATAGTCTAAATGGTTAATATTAATCATTCTCGGTTAAAGCACCGCCTCCGTGTACAGTGGATAGAGCACCTACACGGAGAGCGGAAGATTGGTGGTGCGATCCCTTGCCATGTCATAGCAAAAGACTTGTTGGCTCGGAGTCCATATATGGTGGCTGAGTGGGGTATCCATGTTAAACTGCTGGATGGTATCTCAGTAGCCAAGCGGTATTAAACCAGCGTAAGTAAGGTCTTGTACAAGCACACATGCACGCACGCACTCACACACGTATGCACGCATACACAGACACACACACACACGCCTATAGGCACACAGACACACGCACACATTTACACGTGCATGCACGTCTTTCATATAAGTGCAATAATCTTGAACGCGACGTTAAACCTCCCCTCTCCTCACCTGGATGACGAAGGAAACGTCAGACATTACACGATAAAACATCCTTTATATGACATAAACGTGAGTGTGAAATGTTTATCGTCTGGCATGCTTCTCTTTTCATAACTTCACGTAAATATTACACCCTTACGATCATAGAGATTATCGTCAAAACTTATTTAAATGGTGTCATTATTCACCCAATGGCCGATGGTCATGCCCATGCAGGAAAGACCCAGAAGTAATTCTGACTCAGCCTGTTTGTTCTACCGCTCCTCGTGATACTGAGATGGAATTCTGACCCCGCCTGTGTGTTTTATCGATGCCCACTTTACTGAAAAGGACCCCGTCTTCGTATTTAACACCCCCTCACTGTAAAAAGAAGGAGGGGCGGTCGGGTAGCCTAGTGGTTAAAGCGTTCGCTCGTCACGCCGAAGACCCGGGTTCGATTCCCGAAATGGGAACAATGTGTGAAGCCCATTACTAGTGTCCCCCGCTGTGATATTGCTGGAATATTGCTAAAAGCGGCGTAAAACCATACTCACTCACTCACTAGTAAGAAGGAATTATGTACCCGCTTGTGTATTTTACCGCAACTCAAGGTCCTGAGAAGGAATTCCGACATCTGAATTGACTGACTGAAATGAGGGCGTACTTTGCCCAGACCCGGTGCTGAGGACAGATTGTGCTTACTTCTACTCCCCCGTAGACGTATTACGCCCCGACTCCTGTACTGAGGCCGTATTATGCCCCGAATCCTGCACTGAGTCCGTATTATGGCCCGCCCACTGTACTGAGAACGTATTTTGCCCCGCCCACTGTACTGAGCACGTGTTATGCCCCGCCCACTGTGCTGAGGACGTGTTATGCCCCACCCACTGTGCTGAGGACGTGTTATGCCCCACCCACTGTACTGAGGACGTGTTATGTCCCGCCCACTGTGCTGAGGACGTGTTATGCCCCACCCACTGTGCTGAGGACGTGTTATGCCCCACCCACTGTGCTGAGGACGTGTTTTGCCCCCACTGAACTGAGGACGTGCTATGCCTCACCCACTGTGCTGAGGACGTGTTATGAGGCCGTATTATGCCCCGCCCACTGTCCTGAAAACGTATTTTGCCCCGTCCACTGTACTGATGACTTATTATGTCCCATCCACTGTACTGAGGCCGTGTTATGCTCCGCCCACTGTACTGAGGTTGTATTAAGCTCCGCCCACTGCACTGAGGAAGAATTTTGTCCCTCCCCCAACTCTTGTACTGAGGATATATTATGCTCCGCCCACTGTACAGAGGACGTATTGTCCCCCCCCCCCCCCCTCCCACAACTCTTGTGCTGAGGACGTGTTATGCCCGCCCA